GCGCGTCATGCCTGCACCAGTCTTCGTCCCGGAATTTCGCTCCTTGGCGCCCTTGTTCCGTCTCTCCGCATCTCCCATACGGTTACGATACGCTTTTAGCCTCGGTAGCAACCCTTTGAGACCTCAAAGTTCAGTCTCACTTGCGCTGTAATAACGAACAATGCTGCTTCTCCCAGAAGCGCGTACGGAGACGTCGGCATAACGAGCAATTCCAAAGAACACACCGCTCTCCCTTAATTTTGTTGATTCTGCCCCTTATATTCGCGATCAGTCCCGAGAGAAACGTTTCAAACGTTGTCTTGAACTCGCGGCTAATTAAGAGATGTTTGGAGTCTGGCGAAAATTTCGCGAATGGAAAAGCAGCACAATGTTAGCAATATTCCACATGATTTTTTTTTATATAAAATACATTCACGTACATTCTCATATCATTTATATTGCATAATACTTATAATCCGCGTATTCTTTAAAAATACTAGATTTAAATAGAAAAAATTAAAATTAAAAGACGATGTTTTGCAGCTAGTCGAATTTTTTCGACGCGGTAGTTGTTATGCTTGAAATTTCGTTTATAAGCATCATCTGGAATCTCATGATAAACATCTGTCGGGGCTGGGCTAGACCTAAAAATTACCGAACGAAAATAGAACTTTTCGGCAGCGAGGTACGATCAATCCAAGAGAATACAATTTTCATAGCCTACGGCTCGCCTTAATTTCACTTTCGTTCTTGGAAGTGGAAGGCGGAAAATAAACTGTGGACTCTGTCGCGTTTCCAAGACTTTTAACTGCTCGCAGATCGCGGTCTCATAAATTTTAATCGCGCAAACGTCTCTCATCTGTTTTTAGAAAATTAGACTATCCGGCGCTCTCGCCCGGCGGAACGCGCTGTCTAGAATTCCTTTATTTTCCATAATGTCAAACCTAATATTTTTCTTTTATTAGCTCGGGTTCGTGGCTGCTTTCTCTGGAACATGCTGAATAGAACATTGATAACATGAATAAAAGCAGCAGATGCGAATTGTCCTACGAAAATTTTTCTCATAGAAATTTTCAATTTGCAATGTCATTTAAAACACGCTTCTTACATAACTAATATAATATCATTAAATCTTTGTTTCTTTGCCACAAATATTAGATTCGATTTTATCGCTCTATTTTTAATAACATATATATCCTGAATTACGAAGACAAACACTACACGATGAGAGGATCTCGTCGAGTGAGAGTTTATCGCGAGCACATCACGAAAGGGGAAACAAATGGTTTCCTTGACTTATCGTGATCTCCTTCGATATAAGGGACTGTTTAAAGGCATATATCTATATATATATGAGAAATGTTTTGCGGGGAATAAATCCGCGTGCGGAGCCGCACAATAAAACGCATTTATCCTTGCCTCGAGATAAATTTGTGGAAATTGGATTTGAACGCCGCGCACGATTTCCATCCGCTTTAGGAAACGCGTTTAATTTTGCAGCTTTTTGCTCGAGAGAGAGAGAGAAAGAGAGCGAGAGAGAGATCGTGCGTGGCCGACAAGTAAAAATGGGGAACACGATTCTCCGCCGGTATTATACATCGCGCTGAAGATTATTTCCGCGAATCCCGTAATCTCGCGCCGTTGTAAATGAAAACCGCCTGGTTACGATAGAATTTCTAGTTGCGAGCGAATTAGGTTGATACAAAAATCATGTCGCGCGTCACGTCGCGGATGTCATCCTCGTTCGATTCGATTCGCGGGCCCGATTCAGTCTGTCACCGGAACAAAAATTGGCCATCTTTATGGTTGCCTATCGCAGTCGATTGCTGCCCGCGGCGAGCAGTCGAATGCTCGCACGTCCGCGAATCGCTCTATCGTAAATCAGCCAGAGAATGCACGAATGCCAATCTGTTTCTGCTGTCCGTATTGCAATGCTTTACCACACATTTACTTACTTGGCGACTAGTACGAATGACGCGTATTATGAATTAATCCGTATTTACTCATTGTTGCGCCTTTCTATCTATATAGACAAGACAGTAAAATCTGTTGGTCAGTGACTTGAATTATAATCAAAATAAAATCTATATGTTATGCATATTGATTTCTTCAAGTAGAAGTCTCTTCTAAACAAGTGTAAACATAAGATATTGTAATAAATCTTTGAAATAATATTTATTAAATATTTTTTATATTCCTTCTGCAATTTAGCATATCCATAAACAACCGACAGAGAACCTAGTTTTGTTTCGCACAATCTTTTGAACCGCACAATGCAGAAATTCGCGAACTTTAAACCGGCAATAGATCACTTGGAGGTGAACTTACGAGAGTGATTCATAAGAACGTGGCGGAAGGCGGCCCGAAAAATTCTCATTTCTACATCGCCGCGCAATCGCGTTGATTGACGAGCGCCCGTTAAATATTGACGAGGTAGACGGTAGATGCAAAAAGTAGCGGTTTCCGCGGGAAACGGATCGGGGTGGATACAAATGAGGCTGCGGGGATGAGCAGCGTTATCTCGCATCCTGCGGGAGCTATTCGTCCCGGGGCCGCCCCTTTCTCCATCCTGTGCCACCGGTCCCCTCCTACTATCGCCACCCCCTTTCGGCAATCCCTTCGCAGGCCCCTTGCATCCGCTTCTGATAAGCGAAGTGTGGAACCCCGAAGCGGACCGACTCTTCAATAGTAACTCGTCGATATCGTAATTGTCGCGATCTCCTGAACGTTGATCAAACGAGCGCGAAAAATACTGGAGGAAGAAACAAAAAACACGAGCGACTTTCGTCGGAAACGCAGCGTGAATATAAGAAACTTTTTAATATATCACGCAAGAGTAAACGCAAACTAAAATCTTGCGTTAATTCGTTCTTATTACAACGAGGCAAAGTGGTAGCGTCCGTCGCGTTCCTGTCGTTTTATTATTCTTAATCAAAACCGTCAGCGCTAGATTAAATTTTCTTTGCGTTTGCGGGATGGCGCCGTGGGTTATGAGATCCTGAAAGAAACGAGGACAAAAGACGCGATGATAATAATCGTCGCATTTCAAAAGAAGACAGTAGACTAATTATGCTCAAAGACACTATTTTATTAACTCGTCTCCGAGACGCGGATGATTCATCTGACGCTTCTTAACGTTTCCTGCGGCGATGTCGATGAGAATTTTATAAGTAAAAGAGATGCCACTTTTCGCATGAATTATTATGTAAGAGCTATCTAGAGATTCCAGAGTTTACTGTAGTCTTACTGAGGACAAATCATAAAATTTATTTCTATCTTTATCATTCGAATATACAATTTTCGACACATGGATTGTTTTTGTAATCAAATTAGAAGTATATTTCGTTATCGAAAATTTTGACTTGTGTCGCGTGTAAGAGTAGGAGCAAACGGATAGATTGTAACAGTTCTAAGGGATGCGAGAATACAACGCGAGATTACGGGATTGCGGCATGTCGGGCCATACGTCGGCTTTACTACTGCGGAGGTGAGCAACTGGCGGTTCTATTGTCAGGAAAGGGAAGTGAAAAATCCCCAGATTCCCTCAGGAATCGTCGAGGTATCCTTATAAAACTGGCAGATTAGAGTAAGACGTGACGAGAGCGCGGAATCCGCTCTGAGTATTAAGAATTTCGACGATGCGAGCGGTGCGCATTTCACAGTTACGTCTGGAGATAGATAAAATTTGATTAAATATGTATTGGTCAGTTATATAGTATTATTTACTCAATATTATACATGTCAGAAAAGAGCTTAATCGTATTTAATCTCTATGTAACATTTTCGTTATAAATACAATAAAATCATATATAAGAAAACAATTTAATACATATTAAATACATGAGAAATGTTAGTAGGTCAAATTGCAAATTGTATCATGCATTTTTCAAGTGTTTCCACTTGTCGATACAAGGGCTATTTATGCGCGTTAAATAATTAATCGGTAGGGACGGCGACCGCAAGGGTAATGGTAATGCTTGACAATTATGATTTTATGAGCATTAAACTTTAACGATTAGAAACGTTACTGCAATAAGCTTGCAAATAATTGAGAAAAAAGCTAATTTACGACTGGCTTTTTTAAACCTGCGCATAATGGCGCAAGAAATTCAACGAAATTCTCTCGGACTGATAAAGGGTTTAGGAATTTCGTGTGTGTCTTCGTGCAATTGAATCTTTTTCTAAAAAAAGAATAAGAATTGATTACTTTTGCTTCAATGCGAACTAAGAGAAACGGAAACGAATACTGGGTAAGCAAAGGTTAGGTTAAAAACAAATCACTCGATCGACGTTACAGTCAACAGAATTACGTTTATCAATACAAATTGTCCAATTCACTGTTTCAATTTACTGCTTCAACTGTTTTACCTCTAAAAAGTATCAGGCGCTTGAAATGAATACAAAGCTGATAAAGAACATCTATTGCTACGTGAAATTTACTTGGAGTGATAAATAATATTTAAAAAAAATGTAGAGTTGAGTAGTTTATATAAAACGTTTATAATATGCCATCACACAAACGACGTCAAAAAGAATGCATCTAATAAACTAATTTCTATTAGTCATTCAAATTTGATACTTTGTTATTATTATCAATATTGTCATATATAAACATTGATTATAATCTATAATACGTAATTGAAATCATCACGTACGACACTTTAGTCGCGACATATATAGATTCATGCACATCCACGACAATTTGTCCGGCGTCCTTATCGCCCGATATCATTATTCATCGCTTGACTAAATACATTCCGTACTTAACATAGTAATAAATCACCAGTCACGTAAGGCGAATCGTCGCCGCGAGCGCGGAAAAAGAGAACGCCGCCGAGTAAAAAAGCCGCTGAATATTCGCGCGAGGTATCTCGCTCGGGAAGGATCCCCCAGAGAGAATATTGCAGAGCGCGGCTCCGTCAGTGAATAAGACAACCGAAAGGACAGGGATGTACAAATGGTTGCGAAATCCCCGCGAGAATCGGATCCATTAGCGCTGAAATTAACTTCATGAAACTTACCCTTCCCGCTGAAGAAGTCAGCGCCGCGACTGCACGTCGCGCATAGCGCGGCGAAGATCACCAGTAACGACCTGAAAACAATTATAGAAATCTCGTCATTAATCATAGTAGTTTCTTCTAGCCTCGTGGCTTCATAAATGTCCGATACAAGTTAATTGAGTAGTGTAGCATGAAGTTGCTAGACGTTAGTTGCAAGAAAGAAACAACTACATTTGATAATCGAGTTTTAGATAAAGAGAAATTTAATAAACAATATAAATAATTTAATAAATAAAAATATATTATCTATATATAACACAATATAACAAAATGTGATAAAATCGAGTAAATAATGAGTAGAAAAATAAAATGCAATAAACATTCGTGCTAATCGTTGTTATTATAGTAATGATAAATTTCGGAAAACGCGATTCACGATAAGGTACACAGGAGAATGTCGTCGATTATCAAAAACAAACAGGCGTTTTCTATAGCAATTTCGTTATTTTGGCGTTATTGTCGAGGGTAAACTGGCAACTAATACTAATTAAATAGGGATGGCAAACGGAATGTCGGGAACGTTTGGAGAGAGGATGGTTAAAACAAAGGCGGAAGGTGATAGTCTTTCTAAAGGATAAGACCGGTGCTAGGAAAGCTACGTGATCTCATGGAAGAAAGGCAATGAAATTAGCGCTAGAGCGATTCGAAATAACAGCGTTGCTCCCAAGCAGGGAACAATAGGGATGCACTTGCTGCGCCGTAAACCAGGTTACGCGATACGCTGGATCAAGAGAAGTGGCCTTCGGTATTATGCCAAGCTTTACTTTGACACCCTCGCCACCTTTTTCTAAGAGACGGAGCACGTGATCACGACTTCGTCGTGATGAGTTAGTCTTGCAGAACACGATAGCAATTTAGTTTAATATAACTTCACTTGTTTGCGCATCACCTTTAATTTAACGTAACGTAAACTTTCAGTTGTCCCCATTTATTTAGAGAGGTTTAATGAAATTTAATTTTATTCCCTTGGTAATTATGTAACATCTACTATCGTAAATAGTTTGTTATACATATATTCTTTCTAATATGTTTACTCCTGTTTACTCTAATAGCTAAAACATGTTAAATGTTAATCAAAAAGAAGATTATATTTCCTTTGATCTCGTAATTCGTGATATATTTTCTAGTTCTTTTCTATTCTACTATTACGGCATAAAATGGTATGCGTTTAATCAACCATTTTTATACGTTATTCAATGCACCGCGCCTTTGCGTGACTCGTAAAAATGTGAATCGTGTTTCACTTGTCTATACGCACGATAAATCTCGATCTGTCTTTCTCTTTCTCTCTCTCTGTCCCTCTCTTTCCTCGCATTATTTCTCGACTAGACTAAGGTCAGTGGAACACGAGGAACTCGGTAAGTGTGACAAGCATTTGCATCTTGGCTTGCACAACAGCCGGGCGCGCACGTGGGCGTAGTCAGTCCGTCGATCGTGATTCACAATCGAGAATTCCCGACTTGCGCAACAATCGCGGACACGAGGACGGCCGTGCCCGTCGATTTCGATTTCCATTTAACAAGGCCGTCGACCCCGCCTCCTCTCCCTTTCGCATTCAACAGGCATATATGTTGACAAACGATTAAATTATCGACGCGGCCGAAGTAATCGACAAACTCGCATTCTGCATAACGTATGAACATGAAAAATCGAAGCTATATCATTGAACGCTGTCACAATATTTAGAAGCGTTAATCTGTATAATTAACGATACTGAGAAACTTTTAAAAAATATTATAATCTTTGACTATTAACAATATTGTATCATAATACGACCAATTTTGCTTCTGATGAAGTAAAGATGAATATTAAATAAATAAGAGATGAGATATCTTTTGAATAAAACATTAATTTATTTATATTAAAGTAAATAAGACAAAAAGAAAATATGTATACATGAAACACTTACACGTTAAACATTTATCATTTTAATTTATTGAAAATTTGAAGTATAGATGTATATTGGATAAATTTCTGTTGATAAATCTTTTAATGTAGAAATTCGTGAAAGAGATTAATTGTAAGTAATAATCTTATATGAAAAAGATGGAGTTGTCAATCACAGCAATAAATTCCGTGGCAAAATCGTTTAGAGGAACGATTATCCCGAGATCTCGATTGTTTTTCGTAAGATTATTAAATATTTTTACAGCCTCATACAAATTTCATGAGTGCCCACTGCTTTTATAGAAGTTTAAGAGGTTACGCCGAGTTTCGTTGAAGTTTATGACGTTTTATAAGGTCTCGTGAATTTTCGAGGTTTCGTGGGAAGTCAGGATTTTGCGGAGCGCAAAACTTTTCACAGTCCGTAAATATTGCATGTCTTCGCTAAGCTCCGTCCCGATAAATACGCCACATTAAATATTGAGGATTCCAAAAATAATTCCGACGTAAGAAAATATGTTTCAAATCGATGCAAGATATATTAAAAATTAATCGGCGAAGTAGTATACAATAGGTCGCTTTTGAGATTGAATATATATAGAAAATGATATTTGATATCTACTTTACATTTTTGCACATTGTTTCTGATCTCTCAACGAAATTCTTGCTTGCAACAATGTAAAAATTTCGGCACTAAAATTTCGAGGATCATTGGACAAGAGTAACGAGATTCCATCGGTCGAATTGGCGATGCCAATTTCATTTGAAAAGCGTTTCATTACCATTCAGTGCACGATGCAGTTAGAGAGGACTCGAGGGGCCGGTAACGCCGATACTTAAAATCTTGTTTAAATTTTATCATTTTGCTCATACTATTTTGTCAATCTATACTGAATAGTTATGGGAGCAATCTGTATTTTTATTTTGTAACAATATACATATGTTTTATTGAAATAATTCTTTCCCGTGATTATTTAAAGTGTTAAAATTTTTAACGCAATCCTTTTTAAGTAGATATAATTTTCTACTAGACTCAATTGTTATTCAAATTTTCGTCACGATTCGCATGATATTATGGCTGAAAATTATATATACTGCTACTATAACGATCATAGGTCTTTCGAATTATTTGTCTCGCGAGGTGTAAAACGATTTCACGGGCCACCTGCGAGCTCGCATGACCGCGATCGCGGTAAATTCCCGTCGCAATTCCTTCGCGAACACAACGATGCGTCGCTCGGCGATGTCGTAATAAAGTTGTATTATCAGTTTATTGACTGAAACCCGCGCTGCAGTTACATTTAGAACAGCGCGCGCGGTGTTCGCGTACTAAGACGTCACGGTTATTTATTCCATCATATTTGTGTATTTCTGGCAAAGGCAATTTCTGGAAGAGAAAATTCAGAAGAAATAAGCATATCAAATGTTAATGACGATTGTGGTCGGCGCTATACCGCAGAAACAAATTCTGCGAATTACAATTTCGCTTTAATAAATGAACTTCGTAAACAAGATTGAAGTTTTGTCGCCGTATTATGTCCGAGAGAATTAAAGCAATATTTATCTTTACAACTTTTTATATGTGGCATTTTCAGCTCGCAATAAGCGATTACGCACGAAAACGATAGTAATATAATTTATAATTTTTCTAAGTCAGAATAGAAAATAAATTTATTAACATAATATTGTTTTTCTTTTTAGAAGAATTCAGTAAACTCCTGAAAAAATGGGTATAATATAATCAGATATAAAAATATATCATTAGATATGAAAAAAATCTAATTTTATATGATTATATATAATTGACATATAAATTGACATATATATATTTTCGTACAAATCAATCTAAATATAAACTGATCTGAATTCCGTATATAACTGCCGATATATTTTTAAATTTTTTTCCGATTTAAGATTTTTACATAAAATCAATACCGCTAGATTTTTAGTTATACCTGAAAAGAAATTTAATTTAATAATAATTAATAAAATTTTAAAATCTTTAAAAGTTATGAAGATCTTCAATCAAATTTCGCTAAAGATGATCAATAGCTAATCGGACAAAGAGGCGGAGAGGAATAGCGATGATTTTGAAGCACACCTCTATAAGCGTCTACGTCGTTACGTCCATTGACAATTTATATTTTATTCGTGTCTGAAAGGATTTCCTTAGAAACGAAGTCCAGACCCGTTTACAGCGTTAGCAGTTTACCTCGTCCTTTCTCGGAGCGAGTGAAAGAGGGAAGGGAAGGGAGGGAGGGAAAGAGCGAAGCTTGAAAATACATGTTTTCAAGCAAACATACGAGCGCGTTTCCTCGTATTCCTTTCTGCCTCTTTACCGGCGACTTTAACTCGCTTTTGCCCGAATTAATTACTTTCCCCGAGACTCTCATCGTAACGCGTCGCCAAAAAGACGCGCGAAATTCCAAGTTGAATTACGGCAATTTCATCAAAATTTCGAGATACCAGAGACATAGAATCAGAACACATGCAGATATTTTTTTTTTTTGAAAAATAGTTATTTCGCATTGTTGTCGAAGATCTTTTCCTTCTTGTCGGCGTGTACAGCAATTAAGTTAAATTTTTACGAATGTTACAATTGTCGCGTTTAACATTTGGGATTTCCAGCTTCCCTACTCTAACATATTAAAGCAACCTTTCCATTCTATTCACTTAAGGGAATCATAGTTGTTAATGTAATGAGGACTATGCCAGTGTCATCAGCAGAGCTAACCGTATTCGAGATCACGTTTGGAGAAACGAATAAATAGAATGTTTCAGGAATGAAATTCCCTGCGGAAGCGGGTTACGCTCCGAGGTCCGCTCCTCGACTCGCTTGTCGTTCGGTAACGGGAGAATAAATTCGTCCCTTTATTCTGCGTCATTCAATTGCTTCGTGGGATTTCGCGAGATTCCGCGGCTTCGCATGTGCAATCGCAAAATTGTGATAAAACGCGAGTGCACTTTCTTCGTTTCTTTGAAGCTTCTAGGTGCCTCTAATTACTCTTTCAGCGGTCGTCTTTTGCCTCTCACGCTTGCGCGCGTTGTATGTGCTAAATAGCGATGTGTTGTCAAAAGATATAATTTGCATTCGTATATGACGATGAAAGAAGTGTTGGTCTATGTGAAATGCTTTTCTTTTGCGAAA